AGCCTTCTTTAGTTCCCACCGAGGGACATTATCACAAGAATCACGATATGGTCGAACCTGAATTTCAAGAAAAAACAGGAAAATGGTCACTACCTAACGCATCTTCCTGAAATACATCCCAGTTAAACTTACTGGCTATGTGTGATGATATCATTGATAGATCTAAAGGAGAAAAAGTCCATTTCCCAAGATCCCTACGGGTCATTTTACCATCAATCATATCCAGCCTTAAGTTTTCTCTTCGTTTGTTTTTTAGAAACAAGAATACCAAGCCGCCTCCTGTCACCGACAGTCAATTGTCTGGGCCTACCTGCGCCTCCCTGGTGCTCAATGCCATATCCATTTGCAATATTTTTCAAAACACGATAAACAGTGGACAAAGGGATGCCTGTTCTACTTGAAATCACTTTAGCTGATCTGATGTCCTTGTTATAATACTCTAAAACCAACTTCCTCTTCTTTAAATCATCCATACTGAAGATCACTGAAAATGTCGTCTGCTATCAAGTAAACTAAGGTGGATAACTCTTCACAAACTAATGAAAAAGGATCAACGGAGTTATCTCTCTTGAATGAAACCAAGCACTTGATAGCTGGTCAAGGTTGTTTATACTAGAAATCCAATTAAACATATTCCTTTAATTCTCAATAATTTCTGGTCATACTATATATGCAATCTTTGTTGGTATTCTTTGTTTGGCCTGAGGCGACCCATGAAGATCTCATCTACGGCCTGATGATGTGTGAATGTCGGGTGTTGTGCTTGCTGGTGGCGCTGATGGTCGCCCTGGAGTCATGTGAGCGGACATCGGTTTGTAATGATATTGTGTTTTGTATCGTCGGCGTGTGTTATGGAAGTGTCTGCTGTGTTGTGATTGTGCGAGGAAACAGTTTTATTCTCTTGATGCAGGAAACGGCCCTCGTTGGTAAAAACTGCGCCCTACTCGATGTCCAATTTGTCTTAGGGATATTCCTGCGTTCCTCATGCCAATATTTTACCCCTTTGTAGCCTAGAACAATTTACGACGTGCCATGACAATTACGGTATTGAATATTCTATCCAATTTGGAGAGAGCGAGACATGTTGCATAAAGCAACAAATAAAAAGGTTACTTTCTTTCCAAAATATGGGCTTCTGTGTTTTTGTGGAAAGTTTGAAAAAACTTAGAACAAAGGAAACTCATGAAGTTATGATAGGTGTGTATGTGTGCATGCATAGGAAATCCCGTGCGCGTGCGTATGTGCGTGTGTGCACATGTGCATGTGTGTGTAGGCATGTACAATGGATCCTTTACAACAAGGTAATAAGGGTTTATGCATAAAAGAAAATATATCTTAAGATAACCACATGCACATTTCCCATTCCAAAGATATTTAAATCCGGTATTGAAAGCTGACAACTATCACTCCAAGGCAGCTTGATAGTGCACTAGACATTCCACATTGTAAGGATTCTGACTAGAGAAACTGTACACTCTATGCACTTAAGGTAGGTGAGCCTAAGTTCATTCTATATATCAGGCTTTATAAAATTCCTTATTGGTGGGTTTTTTTTTAGAATATAATTGAGAGGTATTTTAAGACTAAAACGGTTGTCTTTGTTTGTTTTTATACTGACTGAGTTGGGTTTTACGCCGCTTTTAGCAATATTCCAGCAATATCACAGCGGGGGACACCAGAAATGGGCTTAACTCATTGTACCCATGTGGGGATTCGAACCCGGGTCTTCGGCGTGACGAGCCAACGCTTTAACCACTAGACTACCCCACCGCCCCTTGTTTTTATAATGAACAAAAAACGTTTGTCTTAGAATTGTAAAGTCAATAGAGCCTGATGCAGGAAATATGCTATGCAATCGTGTGATACTTCTTGTATTCTATGCATCAGTAGTATGTAAGTGAGATATACCACAATAAATATGCTTACCGTACTTCCTCTGATAAGCACCGGGAACAAAGCAGTGGCCTCTAAAGAAGCGTCGATTACGTTTTACTATAAATGTATTCTCCCCTTGATCCCAAAATAGATTTATAAAGGAATGGTCCGTGTAGTCATAACTTCCTCTCCTCCACATGTTATCATAATATGTTATCGTCGAAGCTGCAATCAGGTGGTTTCGGGTATGTAAATATGTATGGCATCCGATGTCAGATGAATAAGCGTCTCCAATAAGCGCCGGGCCTCTAATAAGCGCCGAGTCTGGAAATCCGTTGAAAAATATGCGCCCTGGCTTATTAGAGGAAATACTTCTACGTTACTATACACCGTGTAAACTTCGGTTCTGAAAGGTATGTACAATCTATACAGCTGACCTTTGTCTGTAGCCATGCATAGAGAAGACAAGAGGGAAGACGGATTCCTTATTGACCCAAGAGGGACAACCCAGTGTGGCTGAAGCATCTAAGCTATAAACACACTAATTCTAACTGGATCTTCACTGGACACTAGGACAATGTAGATACATGAAGCGATTGGAACCACATTCAAACTTGCTCTTCTGAAACCCATCCTAAGTAATGGTTTGTCACACACAAAACACAAATATATCTCTGCATTGAAATACCCGGATAGTAGGCCTAACTCCAGTCGGTTTCAGATCCCGTGGAGATCCGGGTCTTCAGCAACCCATGCTTGTCGTAAGAGGTTCCTCCTAGGTCATATGGTGGAGTCCCGTGAAGATCCGGGTTAGAATTGATCTTCAGCAACCCATGCTTGTAGTACGAGACAACTAACGCGACGTGGCTGACACATGTCATCGTATCCCAATTGCGTTGGTCGATGCTCATACAGTTGATCACTGGATTGCCTGGTCTAGACTTGATTATTTACAGACCGCAGCCGTATAGTTGGAATATTGCTGAGTGCGGCGTTAAACAACTAACCAACCAACCACCCCATCATAAGGTGGGCATATTGTAGGTATATACCAATATACCCGAGAAGACTATCAAATCTGTATTATCTGCTGAAACAAATTCTGCACGGTGGTGGCGCGTGGTCATGTGCACAGAGCTCAGGTCACGAATCAGTTGAAGTTAAGCAACGTCGAGCTCGGACAATCCTTGGATGGGTGACCGTGTTTGGCAGCTTGACTCCTGAGAGTTTCTAAGACTTCAGTCCTGCCCCACAATGAAGCACATGTGATACATGTGGTTTCACCTTAGGCAAGTGAGTTTGTTCAAATTGCCTCTGTTCACCCAGCAGAAATGGGTACCCGGTTGGATAAAGTCATTTGACTATAACCTTCTAGCGCCTAACAGGCAGCTTGGGTTATCCGGGGTAATAAGAATCAGATTCTGATTAAGCGCTGCGAGTAATCACTTGGTGTTTGGAAACGTGCGCTATAGAAGATGACTTATTATTATTAAAGGCAAAATAGTGGTGATAATTGAATGGATGGATATCACCAGCATTAAAAATTCACGTTAACAGTAAGTAATAGTGTCTGCAGCCGGATAACGGTTATCATGCCATAACCACCGAAAACGAATGACTCCCCTTTGGCTAAACGAAGGATCTGAACAGTGTCATCAATGTCTTTTAGTCTTTCAAAACAGGTCAGCGCGGAAATTTGTTGTTCCCACATGAAATTAGTTGGTCATTGAACTGTATAACTTCCGTGCACATGGTCTGGGATAATTTATCATCAGAAGCATCATTTAGGGACAGAATGAAACATCGGAGACAAACGCCAGATCTGCCTATCTTCGTTATTTGCTCAACCCAAGGGGTAGCCTAGTGGTCTAGGCTTTCTCTCGTCACGCCGAAGGTGCGATTCCCAGATGGGAACAGTGTTTAAAGCCCAAGTCTGGTGTCCCTTTCGTGCTGTTGCTAAATGCAGTGCAAACTATAGTCACTCTTGATCCACAAGGGCTTTACTTAGTTTACTTAAACGTCTCCATCCGCATCTATTGTTGGTTCGTGAATCTTCCATTAGCCATATGCGCGTTGCTAGGTGTGTAACGGACGTGTTTCTTCTCACCTCACAATATGTTATATAGAAAAGCTGTCGCATGTCTGACACAGTGTGTGAAGTTTGTTAAGAATTTTCCTTGGAAGAGAGAATTCGGTATTCGACTTGTTCCGGAATAACACGAATGGGTACCGAATGGGACGACAGCAGAAACAAAAGAAGGAGGAAACAGAATTGGAAGTAACATATTTTGTCTAGACGAGTAATCATCCAAATGATTCTATACACGTGCAGGACATTTCCCCAGATTTCCAAATGAGTGACAAAAGATGATGTTTATGAATCAGCATCAAGTAGCGATGATCAAGTGGCACATGTCACGAACACATGCAATGGAAAGTCAATTGTTGAAGATACACGGGAAAATATTATTACACGTCATACGTCAGTTTAGCCATAGATGGGTCAAATTGGTGAATGAGTTATGGTATGTTCTATAATAAAAGTTTGATTTGAAATAACGTCATGTTACTGCTTATCCTAAAAGACAGACGATATTGCTTGCAGCGACTGCATACCATGAGACCAGCGAAAGATCCGGGTTAGAATTGGCCTTCAGTAATCTGTGCTTGTCGTAAGAGGCGACTAACGGGATCGGGTGGTCCGACTCGCTGATTTGGTTGACACATCTCATCGTATCCCAATTGCGCAGATCGATGCTCATGCTGTTGATCACAGGATTGTCTGGTCCAGACTGGATTATTTACAGACCGCTGATATAGCTGGAATATTGCTGAGTGCGGTGTAAAACAACACTAACTAAAACAAAACAAGCAAACCACGATGTTTGATTTATGGGTCAGTGTGAACAAGCTTGTCAAAACATACACTGACATTTAACGACATCTGTGGCAATACCTTAACCCGTACCTGAGATAAATCTCAGTGCCCGTGTTTGTGTTCATTGGTGAACGTACAACATGCACTCTGACATGGAGAGGTAATATATCCTTGCAAATGAAAAACCATATCTTCTCCTTAGATAACCACATGGTCAATTCTCATGTATACATGCTGGCATTTAAATCTTCAAGAGCTTGTGAATTGTCGGTTAAATTACGTCACGGCAAGTGAAGAATACATTACTGTGTAACACTTCTTCCATGTTCTGCCCTGTCTGATAACGGCGGTGGGAACGGCGGTGGGAACGGCGTATTCTTCCTCCAAGAAGCGAGGTGCGGATCTCATAACTACCGCCAGCACCTGTCCCGTTGCAGATAAAGAGATAAAGGTAAACGTTATTTCGTTATATGTCCAGGCTACATACAAATATTTGATGGGAGTGGAATAATATTCAGATAAAGCATGCCATTACAATTATATGTAATGAATAGGTATGTCTACGCCATTTTAATTTCCTTTTAAGTGTATGCTCACTGCATAAATCTGACCTTTGAATAATATATGTTGTACATAAATATGTAATATCTATCTATATCTGTGTGTACACATTCAATATAAATTTCGTATAGATTACATTATATATATGCATATATATATACACAAGTCCTACATGTATGTGTGTATGTGTATATGCATTTTTGGGGTATGTGAATTCGTGCATGCGTGCGTGTGGTGTTTGTACACTTTCCATTTATCATATTTATAATAGATAATATTGACTGACGAGATGGGACATAAGAGAATTAGGACTTTATATTATACTGGAAGTGGCTGGAATCTTAATTGACCTTGCTTTTTTAAATCCATTCCACGTGGACGTTTAGGCTTCAGACAATACACCATTTTGTTGTTAAAGACTGTTCAAGATGCAATACCTGGAATTTCGTTTCCATGTCAATTTCAGCATTGTATACTAGCCACATAAAGAAACTGTGCATTGTCAAAATATTATCCCAGTTGATAAGTACGATAACAATGTCAAAGGTACATATAAACTTTAATGGAGGGATCATGAGACCATAACAAGTCGGGAGAATTGCAGTTGAAAGTCAATCACAATGACGTCACGAGTCCACAAGCGGGACAGGGGTCAAACGACCATGTCACAAGCTCAATAACGGGTATGTCCACCATCGGCATTGAGAACAGCAGTGCATCGACGACGCATAGAGCCTATCACACATGCAAGGAAGGTTTGTGGGATGTCACGCCAGATTCTCTCGAGTTCTGTTGCAAGGTCAAGGACGTTATTTGGCGGATGAGGAAGACGGCGTAGACGTCGATCAATCTCGTCCCAAACATGCTCTATCGGGGAGAGATCCGGTGAATTTGCAGGCCAAGGCAGTAAGTCAACATTGTGGTGTTGCAAGAAATCCATAGCAACCCTTGACGTATGAGGGCGGGCATTGTCCTGTTGGAATGTTAACCCAGGGCCATGACGTTGCAGAAAAGGAATTGCCACAGGTCGAAGAATCTGATCCCAGTAGCCCACACCAGTTAAGTTGCCCTGAACAATCACCAAAGGAGTTATTTGGCGTGCTGTTATTCAACCCCAAATCATCACGGAACCACCACCAAAGCGATTCCTCTCCAAGACACAGGCCTGTGCAAAACGTTCTCCCACGCGTCTATAGGCACGTTGACGTCCATCGCTATGGGAAATGTTAAACCTGGACTCATCTGTCAAAACAACATTTCTCCACCAAAACAAGGGTCTGCGGACATGATTTCGGCACCATATTCGGCGAGCTTGTCGATGACGTTGTGTCAGGATAGGCCGTATGGCGGGACGTCGTGGTCTGATCCCGTGATGACGTAAACGTTGTCGAACTGTGTTGGGATGGATACGGCGAAGTCCTGGGATGGTTCGGGCAGTCATCACTGCAGTCTGAAACCTGTGGCGAAGATGGGTCACCCTTATCCATATGTCCTGTCTTGGCGTTGTTCCACGTGGACGTCCAGAACGTGGGCGATCGATGACGTCATTTGTGTTCTGGTAGCGTCTCACCAGTGCAGAAATGGTGTTCCGGTGGCATTGGAAATGTGCAGCCACTTGTCGTTGAGACATTCCCCCACGGACCATCCCAATGGCCTCATGACGTTGTGCAGACGTGAGCCTTGGCATGCTATGCGTTTCAATAGCCGTTTAATTTTTTGAACGATCGCAAGGGCAGGGGTTGAGCTTTCCAAAGTGACAGTATTGTGTGGCATTCATTTGCTCTTTTTCTCTTTCCCGGAATGCACGTGCAACAACGTATTGCACGTCTCAAGGACGAACCCACTGACGTCACGGAACGTGGCACGTGCATGCATTTTGGATACATGTCAATAATCTCTGAGTTTCAATCCTTATGTGTCTACACAAGTTTGATAAATTTAGATTAAAATTTTTGTATGCACAGTTTCTTTATGTGCCTAGTATATTATGCTTTACCTTTTTTTGGTAGGCGTTTGGATCTTATCTACAGCCTGATGATGTGCGAGTGTCGGGTGTTGTGCTTGCTGATGGCGCTGATGGTCGCCCTTGAGTCATGTGAGCGGACATCCTTTTGTAATGATATTGTGTTGTGTCTGTTGTGTTGTGCAGGTGGATATTGTGTTTTGTATCGTCGGCTTGTGTTTTGGAAGTGTGTGCTGTGTTGTGATTGTGCGAGAGAGAGAGAGAGAGAGAGAGAGAGAGAGAGAGAGAGAGAGAGAGAGAGAGAGAGAGAGAGAGAGAGAGAGAGAGAGAGAGAGAGAGAGAGAGAGAGAGAGAGAGAGAGAGAGAGAGAGAGAGAGAGAGAGAGAGAGAGAGAGAGAGAGAGAGAGAGAGATTCTTCTGTATCTGTGATGTAGATGTGATTTGCATGCCTGTTCTGCTGTGATGTTTACCGGCTCGGCGTACATCAGACCGTATTACCCTCAAGAGAAGCATACAACTTTTAATGGAAGCGTGTTGTGTTGCACTTGTCACAGTGTGTGTGAGAGAGAAAGGGATGGTGCGGCTGTGTTGTTTTGTCTGTTGTGTGATGAAATGCTGTTATGTCTGTTGTGTAGATGGAGAAAGAGGGAGATTTGTTTTGTCGGTGGAATCGGTAAGTTAGTGATCGCTTTGAATAAGGTAAGGGGCCGTTTTATGGCTGGGGTGGTGATGATGATTTTAGGGGGAGGGGGCATTTTGTTCTGGAGAGGTGGGGAGTCATCAATTTTGTACACAGGGTACTAGGGTGGGGGTGGGGGTGTTCAGTTTTTGTGCATAAAATATGTAACAATTTAATTCTGGACTCACAAAAGTCCATGGGCGAGAATATTTACTTTTAGTCAAAATACATGTTTTCCCATGTTTTGAAGGTTGTAAATTAATGAGTGTATGTTTATAGGTATTATAGCAAAAAAATAAATTGTTTCGACTAATTTAGAGCGTTATTTAAACAATGGGCGAGAATCTTTACATTTGCTCAAAATACATGTTTTTTTCATGTTTTGAAGGTTGCAAATGAATGAAAGTACGTTTGTAAGTATCATGATACAATATTTTGACTTAATCGGCTAATTTAGAGCTATATAACAAATATATCGGCCTTGGGCGAAAACAAATATGCTTAAAAATTATGGGGGCATAAATTATGTACGGTCCTTAAGGTAAGGTAAGATGGTAAGACATTGTCCCAAAAAGAATTCATATCACACAGCTGATGAGCAATAAAATATAAAACAGAGATAATACATGTAATATTTCAGTAGAATAGGGACACCAGATAGGACTCCTCACATCGTTCCCATGTGTAGCCTTCGGTGGGGCGAAAGGGGTCCGTTGATTTGCGACGGGTAGAGGGGTTTGTGGATGAGGTGGTGGTGAGGTTGGTGTCACCGGTAACATGGGGTGATGAGGAAATCATACGTCTTCACACATTGTACCAGTGTGAGGAATCGAACTCGGGCTTTCTGCGTAACGAGAGAACACCGTAACCACAAGGGTACCCCCACCGCTCCATATATGGAAATAAAAGTGAGTTAAAATTGGTAAATGAGTGTAGCTGGAAAGAGGGGGTTGTTGAGGAACATTGATGAGCGAGGGGGAAGGGGGATTGGTAGATGAGGGTGGGGGGTGTTTGTTGCCGCCAGTAACAAGGGTGGAGTGGACTTCAGAGTCTTCACTCAAAAACTGGTATCAACCTGTCACTTCAAACTCATTCTAGCATCAGCACTGATTTCACCCAGAGACGACGTGAACCCCATTTGTCTGACGACGACGTAGACGCTGATCGCCCACCCCACTAAATGTGCCCAGTACTACAACTGCAGCGCCCCCGCCGCTAAACGGTCCTGGGGGAGGAACCTACAGGAATGTCAACCCCCACAACTGTACAACCCCGACACCCAGAGATGTGAGCACTACAGCATGGTCACGTGTGGCAACAGGACAGAACCCCTTGGGAAATGTAAGTATCCTGGGCCTAGATTTTCGAAGCTCTCTTGGCGCTAAGATAGTCGTAACTTAATGTTAATGTATGGCACTTACCACTATCTTAGCGCTAAGAGAGCTTCGAAAATCTAGGCCCTGGCCTCCAACCTCTACCCAGAACCCAAGAGAATGAACAGTTGTTTGTTTAACGCCAAATTCCCAACTGCGTAGATCGATGCTCATGATGTTGACCACCGGATTGTCGGGAATATGTACAGGCTGGTATAATGTTTTTTTCCAGGTGACTATGCCAGGTATGCATGTCTTGGGGGAAAGGACTGCGGGCCGCCCTGTTACATCCACACTTATTTGTCATCTCTTTACCTCTGGGGGGTTACCTTGCCGTAAGGGGTAAACGTACCTCTGGTATTAGCCCCAGGTATAATGTTTTTTTCCAGGTGACTATGCCAGGTATGCATGTCTTCGGGGAAAGGACTGCGGGCCGCCCTGTTACATCCACAATTATTTGTCATCTCTTTACCTCTGGGGGGTTACCTTGCCGTAAGGGGTAAACGTACCTCTGGTATTAGCCCCAGGGGTTACCTTGTCAGTGGCAAACGTACCCCTATTATTAAATGCGGGGCGGTAGGGGTAGCCTAGTGCTTAAAGCGTTCGCTCGTCACGCCGAAGACCCGGGTTCGATTCCCCACATGGTTACAATGTGTTAAGCCCATTTTCTGGTGTCCCCCGCCGTGATATTGCTGGAATATTGCAAAAAGCGGCAAACAATATAAACTCACTCACTTACTAATAATAAATGCGTGTCCAAAAACGGAACTATATTATTAAAACTAGTAGGGGATATTTGATATACCATTCAAAAATAGTAGGGGATATTGGATTTACAAGATTGATAAAATGCAAATGATGAAGCCAAGGAGGAAACATATGATGAAGGGAAATAAGGGGAAAATGTGACAATTTATTCCATTCCCTTGGAAATGTTTCATCTGTATGGAGATATACTCTCCCAAAAAAGAAACACATCATGAAAATAGCGATTTCATGTAGCAATGAATTAAAGCGTGATTCATTTTACAAAAGGTTTGCTCTGTTTATGAGTACTATGGTGTTGATGTTTTAAAACATCACAACAAAACGCACCATCCGTAAAATACCCGTATTTAACAGCATGATTTTCAATTTCGGCGTGTAGTGTCACAGAACACACCATTCACATGTAATGCGCGTGAAAGTTAGGGATCAGATAGTCTCAATGATGGGTATAAAAGGTTGATCGCTGTCTGTCGATTATTCACTGTATTTGGAATATTGTTCACGAACGCAAAAATGCCACGTCTAAGTGAAGCCAACCGTCATATCGCTATTGGTTTGCTTGAAGCTGGCCAGTCTCAACGTGCAGTTGCCCGACGCATGAATGTTCACCAAAGCACCATTTCACGGCTCTGGGAGAGATATCGCCGGCAGAATTCAGTAGCAGATGCCCCTCGTAGTGGGCGACCTCGAGCGACCACTGCGGCGCAGGATCGCTACATCCGGGTACTTCACCTGCGTCATCGAACAGCTACGGCGGCCAGTACCGCTCGACAAATACCAGGATTGAGGAGGCTTTCTGCACAGACCGCCAGGAACAGCTTGAGAGAAGCTGGTTTACGTGCCAGAAGACCTTATTTTGACCCTGTGCTTCGACAACAACATCGTCGACATCGAGTTCAATGGAGCACCAACGTTCAGGCCTGGAACCTACCGAATTGGCGTAGAATCTGGTTCAGTGATGAATCACGATTTCTATTGGAACGACGCGTTGGAAGAATGCGGGTGTACAGACGTCGACGTGAACGTTTCGCCGACGCTTGCGTTCCCCAGGTGGACAGATTCGGCCGGGGCAGTGTTATGATGTGAGGAGCGTAGGAGAAGTGATTTGGTGATGATCCAGGGCAACCTCACAGCTCAACGGTACTGTGACGAAATCCTACGCCCACACCTCCTTCCAATCATTGATCACCAGAGGGAGTTGTTTCAACAGGACAATGCCAGGCCCCACACAGCACGTCACACTATAGAGACTTCCTCCACAACCACATCAATGTGCTCCTCTGGCCCTCAAGATCACCGGACTTAAACCCAATCGAACATCTGTGGTATGCCCTGGACAGATGGGTGCGACGCCGTAACCCTCAGCCCCAGACACTTCAGCAACTCGCACAGGCACTACAGGCAGAGTGGGCTGCGATTGGGCAACACGAGATTCTGAGACTTATTCGTTCGATGCCGTGCAGTTCTGGATGCCCACGGTGGTCACACGAGGTATTGACTTCAGAGCCACCACACGTCTCCATGTGACACACAAACTGACTTTCCTCGAGTTGGTGCCAAAGTGTGCAATTTCGCTATATTTCATTGACTCATAAAGCCTACAAGATGTTAAAAAAAAACCATAAAAATACAGTTGAAATTCCTATATGCGTTTCTTTTTTGGGAGAGTATATATTACTTTTTCTCATATTCTTTGGCATTGGCATTGGCTAGTGGTATGCACGCAAATGGAATATCCCCTACTTCTTTTTAATGGTATATATAGGTGTCACAACTGTCGATGTTTTATACTTTTAATGGGATAAGTAGTTTAGCACTTTAACAAGCTTTATAGAGGACACCTGACATTGGATTTGCGTCAGTCTAAGAAAGTCAGATGACCATAGATTTTGATGTTCGCCCACTGTCCATCACGAGATTTACCATAAAATCTATATCAATATCGCGTGAGTTCACCTCTATTCTCTACCCGTCAAGATCCGGGTTAGAATTGATCTTCAGTAACCCATGCTGGTCGTAAAAGGCGACTAACGGGATCGGGTGGTCAGGCTCGCTGACTTGGTTGGAACATGTCATTGGTTCCCAATTGCGTAGATCGATGCTCATGCTGTTGATCACTGGATTGTGTCGTCCAGACTTGATTATTTACAGACCGCCGCCATATAGCTGGAATACTGCTGAGTGCGGCGTAAAAGTGAACTCACCTCTATTCTGAAGACAATCCCGGATTCGACTAGGCATACTCCTAATCAAGTGTCCAATGTCAGTTTGGTTCATCCCATCCCACTCTTCATGCTGGGCAGCACCAAGTTCCTAGGGAGAGATCGGGTGAGGTAAGGGAAGGTGAGGTAAGGTGAAATTGGGTTTAACGTCGTGCTTGTGAATATTTCGCTTATATGACGACGTGCATGCGTGTGTATGTGTATGTGTGGCTGCTTGTACTAGCCCAGACTGAAGCTGGTTTTAGTCCACTGAGATACCATGCCGCAGTGAAGCATGAATACCCCACTCAGACACATTATACTGACTCCGAGCCGACCAGTCCTTGTTGTACCCATTAATGCTGAGCGCCAGGCAGGGACCAACAAGTACCATATTTTAACGTCTTTTGGTATGACGCCGTCAGGGATCGAACTAAACTACACTCACTAACGAAATTAGACACTGGATTATCTCCTTTTGATATACCTTTATTCAGCAGTGTAATATTTTTAAAACACTGTAAGTGTATTACATTGTTTCTGTTTAGATTCTGTGGAAGTTCATTACATTTTGTTTTAACAATAATTAGTTGTCATGTATGTATTACTATCTAATGTAAGCAGCGGTGTGGAAACAGTATGTTTCGAAGTTATCGGCATATCGGCCTGTTGTTTGCACACCGTTTATAACGGTGTGAACAACGAGTGACACTTATCAGCAGTGATGTGGAACCGTAACATTAACGGTAAATCTGATGCGAAACGGCAATCTGATATTCCACTCACCTGGCTCACAACTGTTAGAAACTGTGAACAATACATCCATGAAGAGTGAAAAGTCCAATCAGCATGAAAGGTGACAGGTCCTGTTCAGATAAACTCTGTCAAAAAAGAAACGCAACCCCTGTCCTCAGATATGAAAAATTCGTTTGAATGAAGTTATTGCTTCCAAACTAAATTTTATTCGAATGTATTGAAATGATACACGTAATTAATGAAGATTACCATCCAAACAACTGCATTTGTACGCATAAGTGTATTTTATTGCTTATTCCGTCACAACGCATGAAATGACCCTCATGGTGACTTCGCACAAAAAAAACACATGCAAATCATGAAAATGGCAGTTAATGTAGGGGTGTATAAAAGCCCATGTGCTTCCGTATTATATTCATTCATTTGTCGCGAAAAGCTGTGTTAAAAATGCCACGATTGAGTGCTGCCGACCGAAATATCGCCATTGGTCGTGTTCAAGCCGGAGAAAGTTTTGGAACTGTTGCACGGCACCTAAATGTTCACAAAACAACGATATCCCGACTTTGGAGCCGCTACAACAACTTCAATTTGACCAACGATCGCCCGAGAAGTGGAAGGCCAAGAATCACGACCCCCCTTCAAGATCGGTACATCCGGGTCCATCACCTGCGTAATCGGCATGCCCTACCAACCGTGACTGCCACACAAATACCAGGTTTGAGGAGAGTGTCAGCTCAAACGATTAGGAACCGTCTGAAAGAAGCGGGTTTACGTGCCTGTAGACCAGTTGTTGGACCTGTACTACGCCCCCTACATCGACGCCGACGACTCAGGTGGTGCAACAACGTAAGGATACGGACTTTACAAAACTGGAGGCGAATCTGGTTTTCTGATGAATCACGTTTTTCTTTGCAACGTCACGACGGAAGACAGCGTCTGTATAGGAGACGTCATAAACGTTTAGCGCCCATCTGCGTCCGACAGGTGGACAGATTTGGCGGAGAAAGCGTAATGGTTTGGGGAACCATCTCATACAACCAGAAATCTGACTTGGTGATCGTTCCAGGGAACCTGACAGCCCAACGTTACATCAACCACGTGTTAGAGCTTCACCTTCTCCCGATTATTGACCAACAGACACAGATTTTTCAACGGGACAACGCCCGGCCTCATACTGCACGTGCAACAATGAACTTTCTGCAGAATTCCAACGTCAATGTCTTGCCATGACCCTCTAAATCACCAGACCTCAACCCTATTGAACACCTGTGGGATACTCTGGATCGACGCGTACGTCAACGTCAGCCGCCGCCACAGACGCTGCAACAGCTCGCCGTTGCACTGGAGGAGGAGTGGAGAGCCATTCCCCAGGAGAGAATCCGGCGTCTTATCCGTTCTTGTCCAAGGAGATGCCGTGCAGTGATTGCAGCGCGTGGTGCTCATACGAGATACTGAGACAGACGCCCCCCTGGTGACAAACTGGTGTCTGTGAGATGACTTTTGAAATTACAATTTTAAACATGCCCATCTGGGTTATTATTCTGCCAAATTTCAGACTTCTGTCTTAAATAATAAAAATGCCGTGTCGTCCTAAAACTTCAGATCAAAATCTCTAAAATACAGGGGTTGCGTTTCTTTTTTGACAGAGTTTATGATGGCGTCGTCACAGGTTGTGCGTGTTATATACTCAGAGGCAAAAGTTATTGTTACAGTATTTCATTGGTAATCTTGAATATTTGGATTTGAACCCGAGAAAGTGTTTTAAAATGGTTGAAGAAAAGGAACCAAGCAGTTGTTGTTCGAATTGCACGAATTTTGCAAGAAGCATGACCTATTCGAGGAAAATGTCAGACAGCCAAACACTTACCATTTGTACTGAATGCTGTCTTAAGAAGTGGACATGTCAGAAAACACCTGTATTCGTCGTTCCGGACCTGCCAAGTCTCAGGGAAAATGGCAGATTGAGAGCTATAGGTATGCTTCAGTTTGGATGGTCGTCGATTCAACGTCAATAGAAACACCATTTGGCACTTATGATGACGTTTTCACCAAACCAAGTTATAGACCGTCCACGTCGTGGCCGCACACCAGTAACGACCCCACGTCAAGACTGATGGATTCGAACCACACAACACCGACACAGGTTCCAGCCAGCAAACATTACAGCGGTACCATACCTGGGTACAGAGGAGTATCTGCAGGAACAGTTCGACGACGTCTACGGCATCCGTAGAAGACGACCGGCCACTGCTGACACCAGAACAGCGACGTTGACGTATCCAGTGGAGCAGACAACACTTGCGATGGGGGGCCACGTGTGTGGGAAACAGTTCTCTTCAATGATGAGTCACGTTTTCGTCTTCATCGAGCTGAGGGCATGTCACCTGCCCTGAGTTGTCACCCACTGAGAGAGAGACTGTGTGTGTGAACAACTTTTGCATTTGGGGAATTACATTTCCTTAGTAAAGTACAAATACATGATGGTTGAGTCCTATTCAGATTCGAACCTAAACTCTCAGAGTAAGAAGGCCAATCTCCAGCTCACTGTCAGTGAATACAACCACTCAGCTTCCACGTGAAATGGAGAACTGGTCCAGATCACGTTCTTTATGCCAACTATTACTCGTTGAGAACGGCCAGTGAATATTTGGAACAGAATCTAGGAAGGACAGTAGTGTGACCACATCATATTGGTTAATATTGTTATATACTTCATACTACATGTAATATTGTTATATACTACATACTACATGTAATATTGTTATATACTTCATACTACATGTAATATTGTTATATACTACATACTACATGTAATATTGTTATATACTACATACTACATGTAATATTGTTATATACTACATACTACATGTAATATTGTTATATACTATAAACTACATGTAATATTGTTATATACTACATACTACATGTAATATTGTTATATAATATATACTACATGTAATATCGTTATATACTATATACTACATGTAATATTTTGGTAAGATACTCCATGTATAGTTGGGCTGGGGGTGGAGGGTGGGGGGACGCCGTGGACTCAATATACATAAAGTTATCACACGGGCTGCTGGGGTAGCCGAGTGGTTAACATTTCTCATCGTTCCTCCGAAAAAAAGGTTAAAATATAGCATGATCCTATTGATCAAGTTTTTGCTTGGCTACTGGCTATTTGTAATTGCTGCAATCAGGATCAGACAATCGACTGATTGACATCATGGGCAGCGATCTGTGTAAGTGGGATATCGATACAATGACATGTGTTAAGCAAGTCAGCGAGCTTGACCACCCGATTCCGTTACTCGCCTCCTACGACAAGCATGGGTTCCTGAAGATCAATTCTTCACGGGTATCCTACGTATCATTGTTATATATATAACACGATTCAATTGACAAACAGATACTCTCGTCAGCTTCATCAACTATCAAAGTACACTATGGTATTTGAAGGTGTTGACAATGTAACGTAATACTCTTCCCAGCTGTTGAATCAATGTGTCTATACACTATTGAAACCTTTATTAGTTGTCATATCTGCTGGTGTCACTTTGCTGGATGCAGGAGAGATGACGAGTGTCACATCCTGCTGTTATATAATGTAGAACTCATCAAGCCATCCATAACCGCTGTGTCGACGTTACGGTAAGTCCTCTTTCTACAGTATCTGGTTTTTTTATGGCAGGGAAGTCAGCGATAGCTTCACATTAGCTTAAAATCATTTGACGGAGAATGAGTCAGTATGATCGTTGAGTTAGCACAGTCTTGAGATCATTTAAAGGCGAAGGAAACAGAATGATAATTACGTTAGCACTGGGTTAAGATCATTTGATAGCAAAGGAAACAGCATGATCATTTCGATCATACTGGATTGAGATCATTTGGTAGCGAAGGAAACAGTATGTTCGTTTCGATAGCACTGGATTAAGATCAATTAATGGCGAAGGAAACAGTATGTTCGTTTCGATAGCACTGGATTAAGATCATTTGATAGCAAAGGAAACAGTATGTTCGTTTCGATAGCACTGGATTAAGATCATTTAATGGCGAAGGAAACAGTATGTTCGTTTCGATAGCACTGGATTAAGATCATTTGATCGCGAAGGAAACAGTATGTTCGTTTCGATAGCACTGGATTAAGATCATTTGATGGCGAAGGAAACAGTATGTTCGTTTCGTTAGCACTTTATTAAGATCATTTGACAACGAAGGAAACAGTATGTTCGTTTCGATAGCACTGGATTAAGATAATTTGATGGCGAAGGAAACTATGTTCGTTTCGATAACACTGGATTAAGATCATTTGATGGCGAAGGAAACAGTATGGTCGTTTCGATAGCACTGGATTAAGATCATTTGATGGCGAAGGAAACAGTATGTTCGTTTCGATAGAACTGGATTAAGATAATTTGATGGCAAAGGAAACAGTATGTTCGTTTCGATAGCACTGGATTAAGATAATTTGATGGCAAAGGAAACAGTATGTTCGTTTCGATAGCACTGGATTAAGATAATTTGATGGCGAAGGAAACAGTATGTTCGTTTCGATAGCACTGGATTAAGATCATTTGATGGCGAAGGAAACAGTATGTTCGTTTCGATAGCACTGGATTAAGATCATTTGGTAGCGAAGGAAACAGTATGATCATTTCGTTAGCTCTTTATTAAGATCATTTGATAACGAAGGAAACAGTATGTTCTTTTCGATAGCACTGGATTAAGATCATTTAATTGTGAAGGAAACAGTATGTTCGTTTCGATAGCACTGGATTACGATCATTTCGTAGCGAAGGAAACAGTATGATCATTTCGTTAGCATTGGATTAAGATCATTTGATGGCGAAGGAAACAGTATGTTCGTTTCGATAGCACTGGATTAAGATCATTTGATGCCAAAGGAAACAGTATGGTCGTTTCGATAGAACTGGATTAAGATCATTTGATGGCAAAGGAAACAGTATGTTCGATTCGATAGCACTGGATTAAGATCATTTGATAGCGAAGGAAACAGTATGTTCGTTTCGATAGCACTGGATTAAGATCATTTGATAGCGCCGAAACAGTATGTTCGTTTCGATAGCACTGGATTAAGATCATTTGATGGCAAAGGAAACATTATGTTTGTTTCGATAGCACTGGATTAAGATCATTTGATGGCAAAGGAAACAGTATGGTAGTTTCGATAGCACTGGATTAAGATCATTTGATGGCAAAGGAAACAGTATGTTCGTTTCGATAGCACTGGATTAAGATCATTTGATAGCGTTGAAACAGTATATTCGTTTCGATAGCACTGGATTAAGATCATTTGATAGCGCGGAAACAGTATGTTCGTTTTGATAGCACTGGATTAAGATCATTTGATAACAAAGGAAACAGTATGTTCGTTTCGATAGCACTGGATTAAGATCATTTGATGGCAAAGGAAACAGTATGGTCGTTTCGTTAGCACTGGATTAAGATCGTTTAATGGCGAAGGAAACAGTATGATCATTTCGTTAGCACTGGATTACGATCATTTGATAGCGCCGAAACAGTATGTTCGTTTCGATAGCACTGGATTAAGATCATTTGATAACAAAGGAAACAGTATGTTCGTTTCGATAGCACTGGATTAAGATCATTTGATGGCAAACGAAACAGTATGTTCGTTTCGATAGCACTGGATTAAGATCGTTTAATGGCGAAGGAAACAGTATGTTCGTTTCGATAGCACTGGATTAAGATCATTTGGTAGCGAAGGAAACAGTATGATCATTTCGTTAGCACTGGATTAAGATCATTTGATAGCGCCGAAACAGTATGTTCGTTTCGATAGCACTGGATTAAGATCATTTGATGGCGAAGGAAACAGTATGTTCGTTTCGATAGCACTGGATTAAGATAATTTGATGGCGAAGGAAACAGTATGTTCGTTTCGATAGCACTGGATTAAGATGATTTGATGGGGAAGGAAACAGTATGTTCGTTTCGATAGCACTGGATTAAGATCATTTGATGGCAAAGGAAACAGTATTTTCGTTTCGATAGCACTGGATTACGATCATTTAATGGCGAAGGAAACAGTATGTTCGTTTCGATAGCACTGGATTACGATCATTTGATGGCGAAGGAAACAGTATGTTCGTTTCGATAGCACTGGATTGAGATCATTTGGTGGCGAAGGAAACAGAATGATCATTTCGTTAGCACTATATTAAGATCATTTGATGGCGAAGGAAACAGTATGTTCGTTTCGAAAGCACTTTATTAAGATCATTTGATACCGAAGGAAACAGTATGTTCGTTTCGATATCACTGGATTAAGATCATTTGACAACAAAGGAAATACTATCTTCGTTTTGATATCACTGGATTAAGATCATTTGATGGCAAAGGAAACAGTATGGTCGTTTCGATAGCACTGGATTAAGATTATTTGATAACAAAGGAAACAGTATGTTCATTTCGATAGCACTGGATTAAGATCATTTGATGGGGAAGGGAACAGTATGTTCGTTTCGATAGCACTGGATTAAGATAATTTGATGGCGAAGGAAACAGTATGTTTGTTTCAATAGCACTGGATTAAGATAATTTGATGGCGAAGGAAACAGTATGTTCGTTTCGATAGCACTGGATTAAGATCATTTGATGGCGAAGGAAACAGTCTGTTCGTTTCGATAGCACTGGATTACGATCATTTGATGGCGAAGGAAACAGTATGTTCGTTTCGATAGCACTGGATTAAGATCATTTGATGGCGAAGGAAACAGCATGTTCATTTCGATAGCACTGGATTAAGATCGTTTAATGGCGAAGGAAACAGTATTTTCGTTTCGATAGCACTGGATTACGATCATTTAATGGCGAAGGAAACAGTATGTTCGTTTCGATAGCACTGGATTACGATCATTTGATGGCGAAGGAAACAGTATGTTCGTTTCGATAGCACTGGATTGAGATCATTTGGTGGCGAAGGAAACAGTATGATCATTTCGTTAGCACTATATTAAGATCATTTGATGGCGAAGGAAACAGTATGTTCGTTTCGAAAGCACTTTATTAAGATCATTTGATACCGAAGGAAACAGTATGTTCGTTTCGATATCACTGGATTAAGATCATTTGACAACAAAGGAAATACTATCTTCGTTTTGATATCACTGGATTAAGATCATTTGATGGCAAAGGAAACAGTATGGTCGTTTCGATAGCACTGGATTAAGATCGTTTAATGGCGAAGGAAACAGTATGTTCGTTTCGATAGCACTGGATTAAGATTATTTGATAACAAAGGAAACAGTATGTTCATTTCGATAGCACTGGATTAAGATCATTTGATGGGGAAGGAAACAGTATGTTCGTTTCGATAGCACTGGATTAAGATAATTTGATGGCGAAGGAAACAGTATGTTTGTTTCAATAGCACTGGATTAAGATAATTTGATGGCGAAGGAAACAGTATGTTCGTTTCGATAGCACTGGATTAAGATCATTTGATGGCGAAGGAAACAGTCTGTTCGTTTCGATAGCACTGGATTACGATCATTTGATGGCGAAGGAAACAGTATGTTCGTTTCGATAGCACTGGATTAAGATCATTTGATGGCGAAGGAAACAGCATGTTCATTTCGATAGCACTGGATTAAGATCGTTTAATGGCGAAGGAAACAGTATGTTCGTTTTGATAGCACTGGATTAAGATTTTTTGATCGCAAAGGAAACAGTATGTTCGTTTCGATAGCACTGGATTAAGATCATTTGATAGCGACGAAACAGTATGGTCGTTTTGATAGCACTGGATTAAGATCTTTTGATGGCGAAGGAAACAGTATGTTCGTTTCGATAGCACTGGATAAGGATCATTTGATAGCGACGAAACAGTATGTTCGTTTCGATAGCACTGGATTAAGATCATTTGATGGCGACGAAACAGTATGTTCGTTTTGATAACACTGGATTAAGATCATTTGATAGCGACGAAACATTATGGTCGTTTCGATAGCACTGGATTAAGATCATTTGATAGCAAAGGAAACAGTATGTTCGTTTTGATAGCACTGGATTAAGATAATTTGATGGCGAAGGAAACAGTCTGTTCGTTTCGATAGCACTGGATTAAGATAATTTGATAGCGACGAAACAGTATGTTCGTTTTGATAGCACTGGATTAAGATCTTTTGATAGCGACGAAACAGTATGTTCGTTTTGATATCACTGGATTAAGATCATTTGATAGCGACGAAACAGTATGTTCGTTTTGAAAGCACTGGATTAAGATCATTTGATAGCGACGAAACAGTATGTTCATTTTGATAACACTGGATTAAGATCTTTTGATAGCAACGAAACATTATGGTCGTTTTGATAGCACTGGATTAAGATCTTTTGATCTCGAAGGAGTTGGTAATATCGTTCCGTCAGCATTTGTATTATTTCGTATGATAAACACACGTGGCTTGACATGTTTGCCCACTCTGTATTACATTTGATTGAATTTCTTAGAATTTGACGGATTACAAAGTAGGCATAATAACAGTTAGTTACATACGATAACTAACTCTAATAACATCGTTTCGGTCGAAATCCATATACCGCTTTTGTTAAAGTTAATGTTGGCTTTAAAGTTAACATTTGTCTTACAACTGTGCTAAGGGCCATGTTGTCTGGATTTCGAAATAGACTTGCATTGATTGTTAAAGTTTATGTTATTGTACTTGGGCCCAGGCCTTGTCCGAAATAGACTAGACTGAATTGATTAACCGATTGACTGATTAACCGATTGATTCACTGATTAATCGATTGACTGATTGAGTGAATGGCTGATTTGCTGACACTATTATCCCAACTGATTATAACTGATTGATATTTTCAGGCTACACTCGAACAGAAACAATCGCGATGCTTCGTGTCTTCATTGTGATGGTGATTGCCATGGGCATGTGTAAGTTGTAAATTATCACATCTTTCTTTGAAGGGGGCGGTGGGGTAGCCTAGTGGTTAAAGCGTTCGAACGTCACATCGAAGGCCCGGGATCGATTCCCCACACGGGTACAATGTATGAAGCCCACATCTGATGTCCCCCGCCGTGATATTGCTGGAATATTGCTGAAAGCGGCGTAAAACCCAACTCACTCTTTCACTCCCTTGCTTTCAAGGGAGGGGCTGGGTTTGAGGAGGTGGAGAGAGGCGTTTGGATGTGAGAGTTGATTGTTGCTGTGAGAAGTGGGTGAGTTGAAAAACGACTACTTTTATGAACATAGATGGTTGATGTTCGAACATAAAGGGCTGAGAGAGAGGGCTGCGGTACAGGTTAGGGTCCTTGTCCGTTTTGGATAGAAGTTGGGGAGTGAAAAGCGGGATGCGCTGGTAGGCCTTGATAATTTCTGTTTGGAATAGGGAAGATGGTGAGAGGGCTGCGCTGCTAAGCGTTAATTGTTGCTGGTGAGAAGGGGACGCATGGAGAGAGGGGTGTGCTGTTGGACCCTTGATCCGTGATGGTGAGAGAGTGCAGTGATGGCGAGAGGGGTGCGGTGAGCTCGAGAGGGGTGCAGTGAAGGCGAGAGGGGTGCAGTGATGACGAGAGGGGTGCGGTGAGAGTGAGAGGGGTGCGGTGATGCGAGATGGGTGCAGTGAAGGCGAGAGGGGTGCGGTGATGGTGAGAGGGGTCCGGTGGTGGCGAGATGGGTGCGGTGATGGTGAAAGGGTGCGGTGAGGGTGAGAGGGGTGCAGTGATGGCGAGAGGGGTGCGGTGATGGTGAGAGGGTTGCAGTGATGGCGAGAGGGGTGCGGTGAGGGTGAGAGGGTGTGGTGAGGGTGAGAGGGTGCGGTGATGGCGAGAGGGTGTGTGGTGAGTGAGAGGGGTGCGGTGATGCGAGATGGGTGCAGTGAAGGCGAGAGGGGTGCGGTGATGGTGAGAGGGGTCCGGGTGATGGCGAGATGGGTGCGGTGATGGTGAAAGGGTGCGGTGAGGGTGAGAGGGGTGCAGTGATGGCGAGGGGTGCGGTGATGGTGAGAGGGTTGCAGTGATGGCGAGAGGGGTGCGGTGAGGGTGAGAGGGGTGTGGTGAGGGTGAGAGGGGTGCGGTGATGGCGAGAGGGGTGTGGTGAGAGTGAGAGGGGTGCGGTGATGCGAGATGGGTGCAGTGAAGGCGAGAGGGGTGCGGTGATGGTGAGAGGGGTCCGGTGATGGCGAGATGGGTGCGGTGATGGTGAAAGGGTTCGGTGAGGATGAGAGGGGTGCAGTGATGGCGAGAGGGGTGCGGTGATGGTGAGAGGGGTGCGGTGATGGCGAGATGGGTGCAGTGATGGTGAGAGGGGTGCGGTGATGGCGAGATGGGTGCGGTGATGGTGAAAGGGTGCGGTAAGGATGAGAGGGGTGCAGTGATGGCGAGAGGGGTGCAGTGATGGCGAGAGGGGTGCGGTGATGGTGAGAGTGGTGCGGTGATGGCGAGAGGGTTGCAGTGATGGCGAGAGGGGTGCGGTGAGGGTGAGAGGGGTGTGGTGAGGGTGAGAGGGGTGCGGTGATGGCGAGAGGGGTGTGGTGAGAGTGAGAGGCTGCGGTGATGGCGAGATGGGTGCAGTGATGGCGAGAGGGGTGCAGTGATTGCGAGAGGGGTGCGGTCAGGGCGAGATGGGTGCAGTCAGGGCGAGAGGGATGCGGTGAGGACAAGAGAGGGGCCAGTCGGAAAGAGGTCCAGGGTGAAAAGAAAGAGTGAAGTGCACTTCAGAGTCTTCACTCACAACATAGTTTTAACCTCCCACTTTCAACCCATTCTAGCATCAGTTCTGATCGCACCAACAAGCGACATGAACCCCATTTGCAAGACGACGACGGAGACGCTGATCGCCCACCCCACTAATTGTGCCCAGTACTACAACTGCAGCACTCCCGTCAGGATAATCGACAGCTACCTTAGAGAAAAGAACCTACGGGAATGTCCCTACCCACAACTGTACAACTCTGACACACAGAGATGTGAGCACTATAGCATGGTCCAATGTGGCAACAAATTTGAGCCCCTTGGTATATGTAAGTAGCCTGCTCCTATCTATTCTTCTCGGTAGAAAGCAAGTGGATGAGCTCAGTCCATGCATCTGTTCAATAAAATGACATAGGAATGTGAGCATTACACTCGTAAGAGGCGACTAACGGGATCGGGTGGTCAGGCTTGCTTGCTTGATCAGTGGATTATCTGGTCCAGACTTGAATATTTATAGCCCACCACCTTATAGCTGGAATACTGATGAGTGCGGCGTTAAACAACAAACAAAATAGTGAGTGAGTGAGCGAAGTTTTACGCCGCACTCAGCAATATTCCAGCTATATGGCGGCGGTCTGTAAATAATCCAGTCTTGACCAGACAATCCTGATCAGATCAGATCAACAGGATGAGCATCGATCTGCGCAATTGGGATCCGATGACAAGTGTCAACCAAGTCAGCGAGCCTGACCACCCGATCCCGTTAGTCGCCTATTACGACAAGCCTTTTGTGGCAAGCATGGGGTGCTGAAGACTTATTCTACCCCGGATCTTCACGGGTCACAAACAAAATAGAACACACATGTTTTAAATAGATAGTGCCAATGCTTTATTTACTGATTGGTTTTTCAAGATTTTATGGTGTTCGGGCTACTAGGCCCACTTACACATAATACATCCTTTATGAAGTCCTATATGCACAATAAAGTAGAAAAACCGCCATGTACTTTGATATCAGCAATTACTTTCTGAAGTTCATGGCGAACGATCTTCCTGGAACAAAATCGTCCTGTCAATGAGAGGTCAGTATTGAGAATTGTTAAAGACTCCACCTGATGCTGAGATATTTATTTTGGGTCAATGCGGTAATAATTAACCAAATTGTCAAGCTGACCTGGCAAACTGTATGATTGTATAGAATGTCGAGATATGCACCAAGACCACACTGACCAAGACAAAGTCTGTGGATGTGATCTTCTTGCTTTGGACAATCGTGACTTTTCTGACAAACGTACGATGTACATAGTCGACCACAGTCAAGGGGAGACCTCTGGAAAACACATAGAACATTAACATTCTAACTGTTTGGCGGATGTTTTTGATGGAGTAGCGCCCTTTCGACTTGGCATAAAGAAAAGATGCGATTGGTAGAATGGGTAAAGGTAACAAAATTAATCTTGGCTACGATAGGCCCATCGTATCGCAATATTCGCTCTGCAGCCAATCTCAGTTAAGGTACCAGGGGCGGTGGGGTAGCTTAGTGGTTAAAGCGTTGGCTCGTTACGCCGAAGGCCCTGGTTCAGTTCCCCACATGGGTACAATGTGTGAAACCCATGTCTGGTGTCCCCCGCCGTGATATTGCTGGAATATTGCTAAAAGCGGGGTAAAATCCATCCTCGATAATCTCCAGGGTATACGTTCCGATAAATCTCCTTTAGTTCATGGATGCATCTACGGCTCGCCCCGATAATTGTATTACCTCCATTTTGCTGGCTTTTGATCCAATCAGGTGTCTACGCTGGGAAGTCGAGCGTACCAATCACAAGGCTTCTATCATAACTCACTTCCGCTTCCTTTATCTAACCGATTAAACTTGGCAACACAATTGTTGCCGAGGTACTCTGAAAGAGGAAGAAGGAGTTCTTGCATATATATTTTAAGGTTTCAAACCTGTCAATTTGTCTGTATGAATCGTTCCCTAAATCTTAGTCGACTGCGGCCGCCATCTGTGTTCATTCGTGACCAACTCGTGTTATTCCGGGACAAGCCGAATAGCGACTCGTGCCCCTCTGGAAGGATTTCATATTGGTGTAGGAACATCAGAACTACTTCAAACAGGAGCGATAACATTCGTGACCAACTCGTGTTATTCCGGGACAAGCCGAATATCTTCTTGGAGGTTACGGAAAGGGGCGAGTGGTGACGAATGATCTTTGTTGACACTGGCAAGCTCGGTTATAACGGCTTATCTGATTGGCTACTGTGAGAAGGCGAAGCGAGCAAAGGGAGGTTATACAATTATCGGGCCGGTATTTTCCCTGAAAGCCGGTTAACAGGTATTATTAAACCAATATATAAAAGGAAAAGAAACACTCGAAATCCAGAAAATTACCGCCCAATTACTCTGTTAAGCTGCTTGGCAAACTTGTTACTTCTTTATTAAGTAATCGACTGAATTTATTTAGAAAATAATGTTATTTTATCAGAGGCTCAGGCCGGCTTTAGAAAAGGTTATACATTGTTTAACCTTTCAGAACTTCTAAAGTGCAGAAAAACAACAACTGTACTGTGCATTTGTGGATTTCCAAAAAGCCTTTGATAACGTTTGGTGCGTGGGACTTTGGCCAAACCTATGGCAAATAACATTTCTTGCAAATATTTCCGAGTTATACATAACATGTATAGAAATATAAAATCCTGTATATTATGTAAAGATGGTTTTACATACTTCTTTCCCTGTACGTACGCCAAGGAGAGAATGTATCACCCAGTTTATTTGCTATTTTTATGAATGATATTGAACTGTCTTTTGACAAAGATTTTTGTGAAGGTGGGGAGCTTAACCCTGAAGATTTTAATGATAGATTAGAAGATATCATCAACATGTTTGTATTATTATATCCAGATGATGCAGTTCTCTTGGCTTCAAACCCCCACGATCTTCAACACATGTTGGATTCTTTTGATGCCTATTGTTCCACATGGAAACTTGATGTCAATATTGCTAAAACAAAAGTGTTAATATTTGGTGGTTAGAAGAAAGATAATAATATCCCATTCAAAATTGGAAATAACGTTCTGGAAAATGTTCAAAACTACACATATGTGGGGTTGTATTTAAAAAAAGCAGAAGATTTACACTAACAAAAGAAACAGCTGTTGAAAAAGCCACAAAAGCATTGTATTTTATTCTTAGCAAAAGTCGGAAACCCATCACATACACAATTGCAATGTAAGCAATAAACAATTGTCGACAGCACGCGTGCAATTTACGTTATGTCAGATTGTATTACCCATAACTAAAAAATAGAAAATGTTACAATATAAAAAGATGTGTTATGTAGAGCATGGAATGATATAGTTTAGATAGCAAGCATGTTATGTCTACGAAAGATACAGGTTAGTTGAACACAGACCAGTAATGTTCGTTTAGAAGACCGATTTTTTAAGAACGTAATGAAACGTGACGGTGATGATATTGTGACGTTGCTGTGAAGCGTTATGGGACCATTGGTTACTTTGAAACTACATTTCGTTCTATCGGTTAATACAGCTTCAACGCAGAAACACAGCCGCAGAACCGGGATGATCACTTCCGACAAACAAAATGTAATTTACGTTTAATTGGCAGTTACAATGGTCCATGGCGTTACATGGGAAACCCCAAAGACACCAAAAAAGCACGTGTTAGATCCCGTTTGAATGTCTGCATGCGAGCAGAGCAATGCTCATTCTATGGATTCCATTGTCGATCATGCCACTTTTTCACCCTAACGTAAATTACTAAAGGTGTTACGTAAATTTCAAACGAATATTTCTTACGGAATCATTAATTAAGATGATAAAACAATTTAATATGTTAATGAAATTGAAGTGTACGTTTTGTCAACTTTACAGATTGTTCTTTAACTTACTCTAATAAGTATGAATCCAAAAGTAAACAAACGTTTTATCCCAATGTCTCATTGTGTGATTGTTGCTTGCAGATATCTAAATGTTGCACGACTGTCTAGGCCATGTTTCCAGATTCACTTCTTTTTTGATTACATATCTGGTGCAAACATTTGCTGTTTTGGGCATCTTTGGCGTTTAACAAAAAGCCAGTCATTGGATTAATCAAGAACGGAAGTTACAACGTAATATACGTCACGCTGTAGAACTGTAAGATGGTAAACATGTTTATTAACAGTTAAAGCCAAAATATATTCATTCCCATTTTGTGTGATTGCATGGCGTTTTCGTGAAAGTGTCTGATATTAATCTTTGATACACTATAAATGTGGTATGCGTGGGTCCGTCAATTTTGAATTTTGGATTATGGATTTTGAATAGGTATCATGTGACGTCAAAAGTGTGAAATATGCTTTACTTAGTACACATTCGTTTTGATTTTCAGATGAATTATTTGTTTCGATATTCGATGTTTGAATCAAAACAAGAACAAAAGAGTTCATTTTCTCGCGGTTTATGTTGATACTACTTCGTCTAGCTACCTATGAACGTAAATTACTTGGGTGTTTATGGGTACCTTACTTTAAACTAGTGCTGCAAGTTTAATACTGTTCACTGGGTGCTTAAAAAGTATAAACTTTTCATTCACATGTTGTAGTTTTGGAAACTATATAGTTTTCTTGGGCTGACGTGATTTGAATTGTGCAGTTTCGTTGAGAATGACTGTTTAACGACACACATTTTGGAAAAAGTAAGCATAAATGGATAATGAATATTAAACATATTTTGGACGAAATTGGTTACTCAGTTACTAGTATATCTTGAATTCCCAAAACCTTGAAAATTTGAATAAACTAATCATAACAGTTAAATGTAAACTAGAAGATGCGTATAAGCAAGTGTGGTTGTCTACGGTAGAACATTCATCCAAAGGTATCATATATAACTCCTTATCTAACTTAGATTTAAGGCTAAGTGAATATTTTGATATTTCAAATGATAAGTGTTCAAGGACATTGTTACGTTATAAAACAGCAAATCATAATTTGCCCATTGAAACAGGCCGTTGGAGCAATAAAATGTGATAGAATATGTAAACTTTGTAATGGTTACGACACTGGCGATGAATTTCATTATTTATTTATTTGTTCTCACTTTATAAATGCAAGAGTTAAATATTTAAAGCCATATTTTTATACCAGACCAAATGTATACATTCTTCAATAACAATAAGATAGGTATTCTTAGAAAACTCGCTTTATTCCGTTATATTATTGTAAATGTTTTAAGAATCATCGGTAAGAACACTCCATCTAAATATTTCTATATGAATTATATATTCACTTTATGCAGTCTATTTGCATATATTCACTTTATGCAGTCTTTATGCAGTCTATTTGCATACACACACATACACACACACACACACACACACACACACACACACACACACATATATATATATATTAGGGGTGTCACGATACACCAATCTCACGATACGATACGTATCACGATTTTAAGGTCACGATACGATACGTATCGCGATACATAATTATCGCGCCTTTTCATAGCATTACCTTACCGGCAACGTACGCGTTCGCTGACTGGTCCATCAAAATAGTCTAGCCAATCACAAAAGCTGTTAGTTTCCAACCTATTTTTTAAGTAAAGCTAGCTACATCTATTTATCGGAGCGGTCTGGTATAATTTTACTATCAAGACTTTGACGGAGATGGATATAGCATAAAAATTTGAATCGATAAAGTTTTAAAATAGGAATCGATACACGCAAGCATGTATCGCGTATCATATATATATATATATATATATATATATATATATGTCATGTATTACGTATTCATCTTTATATATAGTATGACCAGAAATTATTGAGAATTTTAGGAATATGTTTAATTGGATTTCTAGTATAAATAACTTTGACCAGCTATCAAGTGCTTGGTTTCATTCAAGAGAGACAACTCCGTTAATCCTTTTTCATTAGTTTTTTGAAGAGTTATCCCCCTTTGTTTACTTGCTAGCAGACGGCATTTTCAGTGATCCTCGGTATGGATGATTTAAAGAAGAGGAAGTTGATTTTAGAGTATTATAACAAGGACATCAGATCAGCTAAAGTGATTTCAAGTAGAACAGGTATCCCTTTGTCCACTGTTTATCGTGTTTTGAAAAATATTGCAAATGGGCATTGAGCATCAGGGAGGTGCAGGTAGGCCCAGAAAGTTGACTGTCGGTGACAGGAGGCGGCTTGGTATTCTTGTTTCTAAAAACAAACGAAGGAGTTTAGAAACTTAAGGCTGGATATGATTGATAAAGGAACTGTGGCTGTCTGTAAGGAGACAATTAGAACTGAGCTGCATGCAATGGGTTGGAAGAAAAGTCGAGGAATACCATCACCGATCATGAAACCTGAACAAAAGGAGCGAAAAGTTGAACTGGTGCTTACAGCATAGAAATTTTAATTGGGGCAATGTGATTTTCTCAGATGAAAGTTCTGTGTGGCTGTTTCCTAATACACTGAAATTCTGGACCAAACAAACTGAAAAAACCTTTGTATCACCGCCCAAAGTACAGTCCGAAATTAAACGTGAGGGGTGGCATATCTGTGTTAGGGGCAATGCCCCTCTGTGTATTTGAAGGGAATATGAACAGTGAGCGGTACACGGATATTCTCGAGGGACATTTACTTCCATCTGCTCACGTTTTCTCTGGAAATGTTTGGATTTTCCAGCAGGACAACGACCCAAAACATCGTTCAAAGCATTCACAGGCCTGGTTTCGGACCCAAAATATGATATTATTAGATTGGCCAAGCTATAGCCCTGACCTAAATCCAATAGAAAATGTTTGGGGACTTATGAAGGAAAGTGTCAATAAGAAAAATCTGACACATATTGCTGAAATGAAAGAAGAAGTGGTTTCGATATTGGGTCAGCATGGACCACGACTTTCTAACTTCTTAGATCAGTAGTATGCCCCGCCGCATTGAAGCCTGCATTGCTGCCCATTGTGACTTGACAAAATACTAACTGTTCACCTGTCCTTGAATCTGGAGTTATGTTAATATTCACAATTACAATCTTTAAATTCTCAATAATTTCTGGTTGTACTGTATGAAATACTCGAATGCACATATATTGTATATAACTATATGGATATATTTAATTGTAAAGCATATGTAACCTCATATGCCGCTGTCTACGGCCTGAATTTAAATGACGTTCAGTTCAGTTATATATGCATCCAGGGTACTAGTGAAGATTTATCGGAACGTATACCCTGAGGATGATCGAGGATGGGTACAATCATACTCACTCAGTCCAAGTACCGACACGTCTGTGCATACAACTTCTGTTATGTCTGTTTTTAGGCGAGTATAAGAACATATGTTTTGGCGGAAGATACTGTGGGGCACCTTGTCATGTCTACAACCCTTCCTGTAGGAACCTCTCCGACGGCCTCAACGTCTACGAATATCGAATCAAATCCTCTTACTTCGTTGTGTGTGTCAAACAGAGACTGGTCTACAGTGGCCAGTGCCCCGATCTCGGAACGGGGAGACCACGCTTTGACCCAAACTTACGTGCCTGTAGTTGTTCGTAAAAACTCAATGGTTTTACAAATCCAAAAGGACAATAAAGAACTTTATCAACAACACATACTCATGTTTCAATGATCGGCATCCAAGTGCGCCTCTCTGCTAACTTAAACCACTGGACAGTTGGAGATCAGTTTTTATCATGAACATTTTGTAAAAAGAAAACTCAGCACTAGACACACTAGATACACTTACGACGTGTTCCATATTCAATTTTGCATGTTGACCCTTGTATCACACTTTCAAAGTTCAGTCTTAAAACGAATGTCATACTTTGTCAGTATTCTTAACATCTACATTGTGTTGCGATGACATAATATTCTAAGTTCCATAGGCGGATCCAGAGGGTGTGTGCGTGTGCGTGCGTACGTGCGCGCCCCACCACTCCTTTTGTCCTGAAAGTATATTAAATGCCCCGCGAAAACGGGTGAAAATGAAGTGTGCACCCCCTTTCTCAAGAGTGTGCACTCCCCTTCTCAAAAAGCTGTATCCGCCCCTGCTAACGAAGAGTGAAGTAACTGTTATCCAAGTATAATATTCCTGTAAAACATATATTGTGTTTCTTATAAAACAACTTAAATTTAGTTAATAATGTCAGTGGACGGACTAGAATATGTTTCTATTTTGAAACTTTCGTTGTGATCGAAATCTTTCGCAAAACTGAAAGGTGTAAACAAGATGACTGGAGTTTGAAAGGAGTGCAACCGTTACGGCGCGTAGGTACATTAATTTACTTACTGCACATGCGCATCACTGATGGTCAAGGGCCACAACCCCCTTAGGGACATAGTCAGAGCACCTCTCTGCCGCATATTTTAACGCCTTTTCATATACTGTGACCTTGAGTCGCGTCGTCCAATCGTGGCCCTTTGGTCTTTGCTTACTTTGTTTGTTGTTTAACGGACCACTCAACAACATTCAAGCTATATGGCAGTCTTAACCAGACAACCCAATGATCAACATCATGAGCATCGGTCTACGCAGCCCTTTAGTAAAAACGATAACTAGTATTGAAATCGGTACAATGTGACGGTACAACTGTCAATGTACCTTTAGCATTGTCAGAATGTCGCGCTTTGATAATGTTGATACTTGTCGTGAGAACGAAGGGGCCACACTGTGACAATAGCCATTAATCGAAGAAGTATATAGTGAACGATACTTGCTTGATGTTTGTTGAGCTGTATCATTGTTTGCATACTACTTTGAATAGCAGGAATCCGTTCCTTAAAACAATCAAAGCAGTAATCTATATGACTTTATTACCCACGTGGTCAACGTATGGGTAGTTGCATACTAATCTCGTACGTCACACGAGTGTCGTATCACGTTGACCTGTGTCGTAACGCCTTGACCTGAGATTCTAACGATTTGATTGGATAACCGATGACCTATTTTTTCATTCATAACAAACACGTGAATTCATTCATTCTACAACTTATATGCATTGTGGGAATGTAAACATTGCGAACGTTGCCGTGTTCCTTGTTTAATTGTGAGTCGAACTGAGACATTATATCCGTCGAAAAACATAAACGCAATGTTTCCACCAGTGATGTTAGCCGAGTGAAGCAACTGCAAACCAAGAAACGGGGTGCTACGGAGTAGTTTACTGTAGGAGGCTGTACGACGCGATGACAACTGACATGCATCGTTTCGTCGGTTACCAAGGTAGTGACGTCATTACTGTGTGACGTCATGCAAATAGTGTACTACAGTACAAAACTCTTCCGCAACCTCTTTATGAAACCGGTTTCGGTTTGAAACCAGAAAAATAACCAAAAAATACGCTATTGTGTCAATTTAATGCATGTAAGACGTGGGTGATAAATAAAATACCACACTCGGTCTCATTAAGACGAATTATATGAAACGAGTGACCTTCCTATGGTATCTGACCGAGCGAAAGCGACGGTCAGATACCATAGTAAGGACACTCGTTTCGTATAATTCGTATGTAATGAGACCTCGTGTAGTATTGTCTATATATTCCACTCACTGAACAGAGACATTCGAGTTTGATAAATGAGATCTGTTCATAGGACATCGCCCTGGCTGAACACAGAGACAGGTGGGGTCCAGTGGCCACTTCAGTCATAAAAGGGCGTGACATCTCATTCTGGGGTTGGGGATGGGGTTGGGGTTGGGTAGTGGTTTAGGAGGTTTCTACTTTGGTGACGCCAGAACAGAATGGTGCTAATAGCCCAGCCAACACAAAACGTTTTCAGAACGTTGTGGGAAGGTTGTAGATTGGTAACGTCATGACACAATGTTGTCACAACGTTAGTATTACGTCATTTTATAACGTATTTCACAACGTTACAGCAACGTTATATATACACGTTGTCAAAATGTTGTATATCGACTATTACACAATAACTTGGTGTCATCATAGAGTTTTCTGTAAAACTTTTCACTTTGAGATTCCTTCTTCACTATTCAGTTCCAACTTCAGAAAACACACGACCACAACAACATGCAAATTGACGAATAAACATTGAAGTGAATTTCTGCTTTGTTCCTAATATACTGTTCACTATTGGGGAACCTGTCCAACTAATAACGTTAAATAGAACGTTAAGACAACGTACATAACGTTAGCATCAATTAACTTTTAACATTGTGACGACGTGAAAATGACGTATGACAACGTCACGTCACAACGTTGTGACAACATCATCCCCATCGGGTTCACACTCCCAACCACCCCCCTCCCCAACCCCATACCCCACTCATCCTTTCACAAGATTACAGTCCGTTTGGCTCAAAGGCGGACCGATGAATTGCAATCTAACTGGAAAACTAATAAACATACAATGCTCAATGAAACGCTGATCATAATGAAAACATCAGACCAACTCTGTGAGTGTTTTTGCAGAATTTATGTCCTAAAAATATAAAAGTTGTTTAACAAACTATCATTAAAATATTGACAGAGTTCATTATATGTTACGAGGGAGGAGTGCAGAGAAAGGGACAGCCAAGTGTTCGCGAAGCACGTGCACAAGTATGGACAAAGCTATTGATTCATTAACCTGTGCTGATGCTCCATCCTTTGAAAACATCGCATCCTGTGTTAATATTTTAATGATAGATTTTAGATTTCTAAATTTGAATGCAGGTTGTGGGCTTGATACAAAGCACTTACTTCATCCAATCACTCGAGCTTGATCCAAATACATCACGGCCTGACCGCTGTTGATTGATCGATGAATTGCCGAGGGCGTAGACCGAGACGCAAATGGTGTATTTGGACCAAGCTCTCGTATTAGAATGAAGTAACTACTAGATATTTTATTTGTGTAAGAACTGTTTCTCCGTAAAATAAGTTCATTTCAGAGACTAGATGTGATGTTGAGAATTCCTTAAAACAACAGTTGTATCCAGTCATTAGATGGGCGTGATATTGCAGGCATACTGCTAAAAGCAGCATGTTCAACTCAGCCAAATATAGTTAATCACGTAGATTACACATTTTCAACTGAACCAAACATTGTTAATCTCGCTGGTAACACATTTTCAGTTGAACTAAATATAGTTAATCACGAAGATTACACATAATCAATTGAACCAAATACAATTAATTACGTACATTACACCTTTTCAACTGAAACAAACATAATTAATCTCGCTGATAACCCATTTTCAACTGAACCGATAGTTAACACGGTGTCAGTGAATGCACAGGCTGTTTTGTTCAACTTGAAAATTGTCCGGATCTTACCAATACAATGCAAACATTATGTGTTCTTAATGATCTGCTTTGTTGGTATTCTTGGTTTGGCCTGACGCGACCCATGAAGATCCCGGTTAGAATATGTCTTCAGCAACCCATGCTTGTCGTAAGAGGCGACTAACGGGATCGGGCTGTCACTCGGGCTCGCTGGAATGGTTGACTTTCATCGTCATGGTATCCCAAATGGATAGATCGATGCTCATGCTGTTGACCACTGGATTGCCTGGTCCAGATTCGATTACTTACAGACAACCGTCATATAGTTTGGATATTGCTGAGTGCAGCATTAAACAACACACAAAGAAATAAACCGTTTACAGGCACGACAATTTAATACATTTACTGTGTCTATGCTTGGTAGGCCATAATAATAATAATATAATGCAGTTGCTTGCCACGTGCGCTTTTACGTCAGAAATCCATTAAAGATGTTGCACAACGACAAAAAGTGATGTCGTCGTCGAAGTCGTCACCAGGAAGACAAACAATGCAGATTGCCCCAACACCCATCCTACCCGCATGTTGCGTTGATTAAAAATATATAGGAAACTTTCTCTTCCGTTATTTGCTCCCTAATTTGAAACTGGGCGACTGTATCTGTTTGAAAGACATACTGCATTGCCAAAGGGAAGCGATAAACCGCTCCTAATGTACATATTACGACACATTAAGGTTATCGCTTGCTTTTCTTTACTTGACCTTTAAAAGACGTTTTTACACGAGGCTTAGTGAGCTTTAGGTATTTATGTTGCCAGTATATTCATACTGCCATGCCATGTTGGGAAAGTACATTTAGATTGGGATGGGAGAACTAGCCTTCAAAACGCAAATTCCGTGTGCGATATTTTGCAAGTCAAAACATTGATTACACAACAGTCTTCGTTTACTGCTGACTGGGTTCTGTCTATAAAGCGCAAATTAGTACAATAACCAGTCCAGAATCTTTTAGCCCAATTCATTCAGCTGGATATATAAATAATAATCAATATTATTTGATACATCTAAGCACTTGTATATTGCAACACTACGCTACTTCTAATCCTTGCAAAACACGTCGTGCAGGCGTGCTCTGTCGCACTGCGTGCTCTGACAAACGGAAATCTGGAAATCGTGGAAATCTCAAAACGAGGCTCTGCCGCTAGAAAAGTTTGGCGATGTGGTATCAATTACACTGTGCGTTACAAAACTACATTGAATAAGCGCAAAGAACACATAACAGATATAACCAGTGAGCCAGGTGAATTGTGAATCATTGTACGACCTCATCAAGCAGGGGCAGTCTGTGACGTCTTAGTTAAGGTCATGCTGCCTACACCTCGCCATAAAATATAAAAATACGATGTTATTAAAGTTTAAAATTAAAGTTCATTTGTTAATACTATTTTCTTATGAAATAGGAAATTGGAATTCAGTGTAACCATAGTTGTTTGTGGTGTCTCTTTTCACTTTTACACGAGAAAATTCGGATCGGCTGAAAAGTAGGTCATTGTCTGAATAGACTCATGTTTCGGTTTGTAAAATAACTATTGCGGAATACCTGATTCTCTCCCTTTGCGTGTCAATACATGTTTTAAATTTAGTCTTTTCAGATTAAAAAATTCCAAGTTAATCTGAACAATATTTGGTATTCTTTATTATGTTGCAAAATATAGTGTGTTACTATCAATCGGTGACACTACATGTGCGATCTCAGTATGTCGTTAAATAGTTCTGAGATTCAGTTCTTGTCGTACGACTTTCACTTCGTACCGTTATATCACATTTGTATATCTCAATACATTCACACCCGGATTTCAATTCCACTGCCATGATCTTTTTCAATGATCAACACGTCGTTGAACCGAAGGGTATACACCCTGAACAAAAAAAGGGGAGAAGAACATTCCGTCTGGACATTTCAAAACATCCAAAGTTCTTCCTCTCTCACACCTCAGGTACCACGGGTAGTTTGTCCGAGTTGGCAGAGCGTGGTTCCCATCCGGTTTACCAACACAAGATGGCCGGAGCTCCGAACAGGGCAGACAGTGTGGATCTGTACATGTGATGTTGAGAGCTTGATAGTCGCCTGTTGGAAGAAATTATAATTTTAATCTCATGAAAATCGGATCTTACAGCCTGCTTCATATTTCTGATTATGTCAGAACTTTCGCGAACTTTGACCGAGCAGTGATAGCCAATCGTGAAGCAGCTTCACGGCACTTGTTTAAAGTGGCGACTGCCAGTCCTTATCACACTTGAAAAATAAATTGAAAACTAAAAACCGATCTGGAACTGTCTAAATATTAGGGGTGGGTATTGCAGAGAATATTCATATTGCGATATATTGCGATGCGAAAGCATGTATTGCGATATGCATTGCAATATATTGCATGAAGTATTTTTTAACAAAAAAACTACTTATAATCGAGTTACTGCCTGATTTATAGAGCAAAAACACAACAAAATCACTATGCTTGATTAAGCTTTAATAACAAATTTTAATCATGATAAAATAAAAATGTGAATAATATTTGGCACAAATGAAACAAGGAAATATCCGAAGATTTCCGAGTGGTACGACGTTTTCCGAATGCATGTCAAAATACCGGTTTTCGATCAGCGTATTGCAATACGTATCGTTTTCATGTCTGAACCGGTAAATACCGGTAAACCGGTTATATTGCGCAGCCCTACTAAATATATGGTTAGTATCAACATAGGAATCAACATGGTACAATCCTTTTTTCGTCATGTGGTAGTAGATGAAGGATAATAATTTTGCTTCAGCAAAAACCCCAACTACTATACCACAGTGGGGATGACGAATTATGCAAGTACGCGGATATATAGGTCCACAAAGACACTCACCTGTTAAAACGTATTTAGGAGACGTTTCATTCACTATCACAATTTTTGTGTTTGTTGTTTTAGGCCGCAATCAAATATTTGTACTATATAACGAAATTACATTTTTGGTGTAATGCATACCCTCTATATTAATCTATAAACCCTTTCAGAAATAAAAACATATATTCATCTGCAAGAACGAACTGTAGCCGTAATGCTGTAGTACCCAAATACGTTCACATAGGCTTACTGTTGGCATGTCTAACTGACTGACTGACTGTCTGAGTTTAGTTGTACGCCGCTTTTAGCAATATTCCAGCAATATCACGGCGGGGGACACCAGAAATGGGCTTCACTTATTGTACCCATGTGGGGATTTGAACCCGGGTCTTCGGCGTGACGAGCCAAAGCTTTAACCACTAGACTACCCCCACCGCCCCTGGCATGTCTAACAGCCTCGGAGCTGGTGGGGTAGCGTAGTGGTTATTTAAAGCGTTCGTTCGTCACGCCGAAGACCCGGGTTCAAATTAATCCCTTCATGGGTACATTGTGTAAAGCCCATTTCTGGTGTCCCCCGCAATGATATTGCTGGAATATTGCTAAAGGCGATGTAAAACCCCACCCACTCACTCACTCTAACATCCCCGAACAACCCGCAACTAATCGCGAGACGTCCTTCACATCACCGCTCTTCTGTATGGAAGGGCGGTGGGTTAGCCTTGTGGTTAAAGCGTTGGCTCGTCACGCCGAAGACCCGGGTTCGAATCCCCACATGGGTACAATGTGTGAAGCCCATTTCTGGTGTTCCCCCCGCCGTGATGTAGCTGGAATATTGCTAAAAGCGGCGTAAAACCAAACTCAGTCAGTCAGTCAGTCAGTCAGTCAGTCTTCTGTATGGCATGTTTGAGGATGTACGGTAGTTGATATAGAATTAGCTTACATGGGGCTTTTGGTACGGGTCTTCCATCGCAATATTTCTCAGCAGACCGGAAGTCCTCACAGAGACCGGATGTGACGTTGAAGAGGTCGGGATAGGGGCATTCCAGCGCCACCGTCTCAGCGCCCACACTGCAGTCGTAGTACAAAGCGCAGCTCAGGGTTGAGGGGTAGCGCCCTCTAGCGGTCAGGCGACAGAACTCATTCCAGCGAACTGCCAAAGAAATTGTGGATTAAATAAGGTTTGCATTCTCATTTCATTCCATAATTGGCAAGGTAATACTTTTAAATGTTACTTGTTCGCCAGAAGCTTATACTTTACGTTGTGGAATGAAAAGACTTTGGTCAAAGTATGTTCTATCAAATTTCACCTTTAAATAAGTTCTTTTTGTAATGCCATCATGTTTCATCTGAGGAATATGAAAAGATTATCTTCACATTTTGAGTTCTTTTTAATCCTATTGCAAGCCTAGCAACACCTATAAGCTAAGATAAACAAGTACAAAAATAATGTTTAGCCTGTCTTAAGCAAAACATCTTATATGGTTATGTCAAGGAGCATGCCTTTCCCAAAATACAGTTTCGTCTTTAAAATAAACCAGTGTATATACTTGCATACATCCACATTACGAAAAAAAGAATATGCTATTTTAAATACGACCGCTATGCAAGACAACCATTATGAAAATATTTATTCCTAACTATATCGTTCATGAATAATACATATGTCCTACCTTTCTCCTGTCTCTTACACTCGGCGCGGTCCATCACACAGATCGGTTCCTGCAGACCAGTGACGGTTCTGGGATCCAACGGGCACCTGCTCCAGTAAGCTGAATCTCCAACACACCGGACATAGCCAGTACAGGCCCAGGGGAGGAGAAACATGACACCGTCCTTACCCCTACACAGGTAGTTCAGCTCGGGGAAGGGCAGGCCCGGTCCCCCGGGGTAAACGTGTGGTTGGCTGGCCGGGGGTTCCACGTATTTAGTGAGGGGGTACATGTACTTGACAGCGTCTGTGGTCATCAGAAGGACGCTGAGGGCCAGGAGAGTTGGGGTGGTCACTCCGAGACTTTGGGTTCTGATCATCTTGATCTGCTTCTGACTTCAGTTGTTGTTACTTGTGATGAGAATAGAACATATGAATACATAGACTAACGCTTAGTCTCTGAATGTATATAAGTCTGTTAGTACGAAATGATCCCATTTAAATTGAAGAGGAGCCCCAGTGAGATTGGAGATTCAGAACCTGAACCTGAGAAAATCTAAAATTGCTTTATTTAAGGCTTTAGCATTGCAGAGAGGGCAAGATAGTAGGGAAAATAATGTGGCTCAGGGACTGAGACAGACTAATGACTACAGTATGCGGCTGGCGAAATTTATTTAGATACAACTGGATCCGAACCCGTACTCTGGTTTACATATTCCAAGAGTGAGTGAATAGATTGGTTTAACGCCGATTTGAACAGTGTTCCGGTTATATGAAGGCTTGTCTGATTAAAGAGGGAGGAATTCCCGAAGTAATGCAGGTGTTAGATGTTGACTTCGGTCAAATCCACGGGCAAGGGTGTGGTGGTTACAAACCGGGTATAATAGAGGGCGAACTAAGATTCAAACCTGATGGTTTCTGACGTGCCCAAAGAAATGAATGAATATTGCTTCACGCAATATAACAATTATTGCAAAGGAAATGTGCAGGGCGAATTAAGTCGTCTCAGACGACTGTGCCATTTATGCCAAAAATCACAACTAAAACTCCTGAATACATGACCATCGAATTACCATTTGTTTTGTTTTTTTGTTTCATATTTCAGACAACGTTAGGCATGGGTAAATATTTTTATGTTTGCCCGGCTGTTTACCTAGATACAAGAATGGTCACATTTCATTGATTAATTCAATAGCTGGACCAGAATTAAAATCAGATTAAGAAAGAATATTGTACGTCATGGACAAATCATGGGTTGAATCTACAATCCACGGATCCTGATCCGGCTAAGGGGGCGTAACTGTTTGCATTCATCCATGGCCCTTTCGCTAATGACATATCAACACAAATTCAAACGTGCCAAGGGCGACAGGGTAGCCAAGTGGTTAAGCGTTCCGCCGTCACGCCGAAGCCCCGGGTTCGATTCCCCACATGGGTACAATGTGTGAAGCCCATTTCCGGTCTCCCCCGCAGTGATATTGCTGGGCTATTGCTAAACGCGGTGTAAAACTATACTCACTCACTCAAACGTGCCACGTAGACATCACAAAAGTTAGTAATACTTACACGGAACAGCCTCAACAGTGGAGAATGCTCTCACATCTAAAGTGTTATGATGTAGGCTATTCCTTATATACCTCACAAGGTACGGATGTCGCAATCACTGGACCGTGAGTAGACAGGCACTGCCCACGACACTGACGTAGAAACAGCCCAGTTTACTCAACCACGGCTACGTCAGCTTACGTACACATGTTTTATGTATGTCTTTCCGTGTAAACATTCAAGGGCGTGTTTTGTATGTTTCGGGTTCTTCTTGAGCCTGTTTGTCACTAGCTGTTGTAATTGACATGTTGTTTGTGTTGTTATTCGCCGTCGTTTTAAAAATATCACAGCTGGGAAGATTTGTTTAAAACGAAAGTAGTAGTTTATGGATAACAATATCTTGTTTAGTGCAAAGAGAGGGGCGGATACAGCTTTTTGAGAAAGGTGTGTGTCCGTGCGTGCGTGCGTGCGTGCGTGCGTGCGCGCGCACATTTCAGTTTCACCCGTTTTCATAAGAGTTTCAGAGTTTCAAGTTTCAATAAACTTTCGGGACAAAGGGTGGTGGTGGTGCCCCCCCTTCGCCACTCCCACCCCTTTCGGGCCTATGATAGCGATACGTGTTGGTGTAGAAACACAAGTGTTTGAAGACGGTATCAGAATCTACACCGAAACGTCGCTGTATGCAATAAACAAGAAGTAGTTATCCATTAAGTCGTATGCGTCATTACTGACTCACCAACCTCTGGAATGTCAATAAAACAATTAAAAGGAATATTTTATGGAATTTCATGCGTTTTGGGCTGGACTGCGACGTGAAATAAAAGGTCCAAATGTCCTAGAAGAAGTCATCAGGGGCGTGCTGATACAGCGTATAATTAAATCAATATCAATATAAAATATTAATTAATGACAAGTGCTCTGTTTCAAAGCTTTATGACCCGTGACGATCCGGGTTAGAACTGGTCTTCAGGAAAGAATTCTTCTCGAAAGAAACGACAAAAGGGAAACGGTGGTCAGACTTAGTTCACACATGTCATCGTGTCCCAATTTCGTAGATCGATGTTCATGCTTTTGACCACTGGATTGTCAAGTCCAGACTCGATTATGAACAGACCGCCGCCATATAACTGGAAAATTGCTGAGTGCGGTCTAAAACTAAACTCACTCACTCACTAAACTTGGAATTATGGTTGTCTGGAAGTAGTCAGACAACCTTTGTTTGTTCAGACTCAGAGGGTTTTGTTTTCAGGTCCTATTCTCTCAGAGTCCAACTTCCAGTTCCAACTTACAGACCGCCATCATAAAGCTGGAATAATGCTGAGAGCGGCGTTAAACAACATACAAACAAAAGCAAAGTTTTGTGTCACAGTGAAATAAAAAACAATACAAATGAGATTTTCATCGAGTCATCTCTAAAAGAAATGATTCACTATTGAAGTCGTATACAGCATCGAACGTGTTGTTCCCTCTGTTCACTTCCCATGCTGACGCCATATTATAGCATACATGGAATTATCATGGCGGCTCCTCCCATTATCAGACTCATCCATGCTGTGTATATTTCATAATATTCACTTGCGGCAGGTGACCCTCGTCGCCTTTCATTCCCAGCACGCCATCTTCCCGCGAAGGGCGAGACCCAAAGGTCAAGAATCCCTCTCGGCGTGTCACTATCCAACGAAAGACTCATTAAAACCAGTCAAACATCATGTCATGTTGTCAACAGGTTCCACATTTTGATACGTTTAATCATTGTATATACATGAGGATGAAAATACAGTGATAATACGGCAGGGACATTCAAATTCCGCAGCAGTTTCTAACACCACACGAACAAACGTTCGTATCTGAAATTGTTTGTATCAGGCTGCAGATCTGGCTTGGCAAATACTTTTCGTTTTTACTGTACGTAATAATCGAATATAAAGAGGATTTACTCGCATTTGAACTGAAAAGGTTACAGAGAGTGTTTATGCTCTCAACAGAGCATAAACACTCTCTGTAACCTGAACAACCCTGGCTGTTGTCTGATAGACTTGCCACGATTCCTCAGTCCACATAAAAGTGGTTGTTTTTTAAAGAAACACAAAATAAATGGAGCATGTTTTTGTCATGCATCAGACGTTGTGGAAAGAAGATTTTCAGACATCACTTGATGATAAAATCATATACTCGTCGTATTTTTAACGAATACCTTGCAGTCGTCTAACTTCCGGTATACCAACGAAAGATCGAATGAAGAAAACGTACCGAACACAATCAAGTTTCATGTACTCTCTCTACAGGCTGGCCAGGTGTTTAGCCAGAGGCGGTTCTCTCGTCCGCCATGCTAGGGACGGAGCTCAGGCAGCCAAGTCGCAGTAAACGCTGATTTAGAAGGATGAAAGTCTCGGGGTCGTGGCGCGAGAGAGAGAACTTCAGTTCGTATGATTCACTCCAACTGATTCCAAGCATGCCCTACAGACTGAGCGTGTGAAAGCGTGTTCCTTGTCTGCCCACGCTGTTGTAAAGTAATGCCCCGAGGGTGCAAGCTCTGTGGCCAGTGAGTGAGTTTAGTTTTACGCCGCACTCAGCCATATTCCAGCTATATGGCGGTGGTCTGTAAATAATCGAGTCGGGACCAGATAATCCAGTGATCAACAACATAAGAATCGATCTACGAAATTGGGATACGATGACATGTGTCAACCAAGTCAGCGAGCCTGACCACCCGGATCTTCACAGGTGCTCTGTGGCCAGAAACCATGGGGTATTTTCAGTTGGGTGTTCTCCTACCACTCTCCGTCGGTCTGGCGATGGTGGTGGACGCTCTGCTGATGCACCAGTTGACTCAGCACCCAAGGAGAAGTTGTCGGTGACGGCGAGGTAGGCGAGGTCGTCGTTGTTGATGATACCGAGTTCGCTTGTGAGTAAGTTGTTACTCCAGGAACATATTTGGCTTAAATTGCTTATAAGTGATAACTGTAGGAAAACGTTTTGTGATAATGAAACCATTAAATGTGATTTGCAAACCATTATGTTTAGTTTAATTCACTTGTATTAAAGACTTCTGCCATTACGAGTCTCGTACTTCAGGGCTAGATCATTGCAAACGTCAGTCATGTTTACTACACAATATTATTTACTCGCTCCTGATTGGTCCGTTCCTGGGGAGACCGCCCTTTAACCTCTCTGACCCGGCATCCCTCGCATACATAATTAGTTAGCTGGCGATCACTAATGCCTAGACTTGGCAGTGGGCTCTGAACCCGCAAAACTTCCACTTTCCATACCTCAAAAACTTTTCAAACACCAACATGAAGATTCATGGAAAAACGTACGAGATTCATTTCAACAACAATAATAATTTATTCATACAGTAACATATCTACACATATACACTTAAAATGAGACTTAGAAAAATGCTCTAAATCGGTGTATTCTGATCATGACGTCCAAGCACCAACTGACTGATAAAGCTAATTAGAAGTTCCCCCAAAATCATTATTAATAATTCCTATAAGTCCAGGGCCCCGTTCCTCAAAGCGATCGTAGCGTCTCGCATTGTATATAAAGCCACGTGACCACCTATTTACCTAACCCTAGAGAACGATCTGTCTTTGGTTGTACGCCATGTGGTGTCGATCTGTCTTAGTTTGTACCGACACCACCTCCTTGAACTCTAAGCCTAAATGGAAATACTTGGACGCCATGACCACCCACAGCCTCTAAACTCTAGGCCTCATGCCTATTCTTCCGCTGGAGTCCACGATGGAGATACTAATGTGCCGAACACCACATCATTTACCCATTGATGCGGTGAACTGATATCCTGACTTGAAAGTCACGTGATTATACGAGAGATTCCCAAACAAAGATGACGGCGCCCATGACAGTACCTGTCATCTCTACGCTATTTGACTATTCTAACAACTATTGGGCTTATGTAAATTTATCATCCTAACGGTAAGGTTATAAACGTATTCTCTATATACCCTAAAACTAGTTTAATGATGTACAATCGCTTCCTAATGTAACCTAATACTCAACCGGAAGTATGATGGACATTCGATTTGACGTAATGACTAGATCTAGTACGTTTTAGAATAAGCTAATGACACCCTATTGCGCTTCCAAATCTATCAAAAGATCTTAGCATTATTGTTTTAAGCATTATAGCATATTTCCATTCGTAAAACATCATAAGCTTGTGCCATCACATTACGCTATTGTTTTAAAACACAGCTGTAGATTCTACTTTGTAAGAGTCAATGTCAACAACGTCGCCTGTCAGAACGATCTCGATTACTTTTTCAAGAGTTTTTGAATTGACCATAACTTTTTTACATTTCCTCGCTCTAAGCGTCCAGTTACGAAAACTAACTAACAGATATGCATTAATCTTACCTTGTTCTTCGACAAACTGATCATAATCCCTTGACACTCGGTAATTATCCATTCTTTGGTGAATTTGTGATCAGGGCCGAGCTACGTGTTTCGGTGACGCCCGCCATTTTAACTTTGTGACAGCCAGTCTATTTCGCAATGGGGTTACCGCTACTTTTGACTCAGATTAGTGTTTTGTATTATAACGTTTATGTAATCTTGTGAATTACGTACAGAGGAACCCAGAATTGTATTTGATGATATGTCAAGTCATGTTTCAAAGCCGTTGTTAATTCTGACAACGGGAACTATGTGATTCTCACTGTTGTATTCATACGCGATGTTCAGCATCATTATTTATGAACGTGTTATTCATAAATATGACTTCCAGTGCCACTGTCAAATTGTATAAGTCATCTTGTTAAACATTTTATGTGTCAAATAAACACCAATTGCCTCCTGAGGTCTGTAATCTTCCTCTTTGAATTGTCCATCGTAATTCCCAGTGGATATGTTGCTTGTTGTTATTACGTCCCGTCAGCAGGCAGCAAGGACGTAGCAAGACGTAGTGAGACGCAATTGCTGATCTGTATGATATAAAATAAATCAGGGAATTACAGGACGCGAATCCCTATACGCATAAAAATTGACAATGAACGCAACGAAATTTATTAGCGCATCCACAGGGACGCAGAAAAAGTCCAAATACTTTTGTAAAAATTCAAATCAAGTAACAATAAGTTATCACTCAGTTTGCTTCTAGCTGGGTTATGGTATCATTTGCAAT